GGTCAATGCTTTAAACAACTGAGCTCATTCATATCTACAGATTAAACATCCCATTAAACTTTACTCTATGATATTTCTCTTTCCTTTCTCCATATTTTTCCCTTTCAAGGAGAAGATTTACAATAAAATATATTTTCAATTAATATTTTATTAATCACTGATACTTTATTAATCATTATTATTATTATTAATATTATTATTATTATTATTATTATTATTTTTCTTTCGAGTATTTTTATGAAGATATGTATATTTTCTTGAAATCTCCTTTTATATGTCATTTCGCATATAAGCAAATATACATGAATATTTTCTTTTTCATTTTCTTGGAAATTTTTTTGTGTCATGAAAAAGTACAAATTTTCTTCCTTTGATCTGATAATTATCAAGCTTATTTTAAAATTCATCAAAAAGAAAGCAAAAAAAAAAGAAAGGGAAAAAAGAAAAAGAAAAAAAGAAAAAAAGAAAAAAAGAAAAAAAATTATCCTACGAAATAGCAGTGGTTTTGATCCAGGATCGATTTGGATCTTCGGTTTTCGTGCGAATACTTTAAACCAGTGTTTCTCATATTATTTCAAATCTGTATCATGGATATGTGTGTGTGTATATAATTTATAACTATGTTTAATTATATCAATAGATAAAAGCATTATTATTAGTATAATAATAGAAATAAAAAAAAAGAATAAACACACACACATACAAATTTTATATTTATAAACTAAATTACAGAAGATATTCCAAAAGGTTAGATTCGCTCTTTAAAATTTTTAAGAGTATATATATATATATATATATATATATATATATATATATATATATATATAAGGGATTTTCTTTTCTTTTTTTTTCACAAAATTCTCCGTTTGAGTTCCTTCATCGAAGTATATTACACGTTGAGAATCTCTATCGTAGACTAAACATTCCAGAGGAATGTCCACTTATGGCAGAGGAAGCAGTTGTGCTCATTTCAGCACAATCTCATATATACAACAGTATAATATTACAGAGTCAGAGAAGATCGTAGCAATGCAATGCAATATCGACTCTTACATAAATGAGTCCATCCCAAAGCTGTTCCTTTAAATAGCTCCAACGATTAATTAATTTAATGCATTTCAGCATTAAATTAATTATATTGATGATATCTTTTAAATATTAAATTAATATTTATTGTTAATATTTAATCAGAACGAAATAATCTATTGACGTAAAATTACTTATTGATAAACAGAGATAAGTAAGAAATATAGATAAATAGATAGATGGATGAATGAATAGATAGATAAATAGATAGATAGATAAACTCTGATAGAACTGGACCAATGCTCGTTTCTCATCGTTCACAAATGCGCAAAGATAATCCCACACATGTATTAGGCTCCGCTGTCCTGCTTGACATCATCGATTTACGAGCAAGGATATATATATATAGATATATATATAATACTGCTACATAAAAGACTAAAAACATACACAAACACACACACACACACAATGTGCTACATTTTTATTTTTACATAGTTAGATCCCTATAAAGTTGGTTAACGATTATTTAGAAATACTTTTAAAAATATATTATTGTATATGTAATTTTTTAAATATATTATTACCATCATCAAAACGATTTACCACAGGAAGGAAGGAAGGAAGGAAGGGTGGGAGGAAATGAGGAAAAAACCACATCCGATTTTGATAAAAAACCTTCTCGGATTAAAGTGCAAGTAAAAGTAGGCCATCAGTCGTATCCTCTCCTTTCTCTCCCCATTTTATCTGCATACTAGCAGATTTTATCCATCTCGTGTTGGTTTCAGAAAAACTAATGTACATAAAGAACACGTATCTCTTTTTGGTTTTTTTTTTTTTCTATTTTTGTTAACAAAAAATTAACAGTCTAATGAGCGTTTATTTAGAGTTTCTGAAATGAATTTAAAAAAAAATAGAGAGAGGGAGAGAGAGAGAGAGACAGAGAAAGAGAGAGGAAAGAAATAAAATATAATAATAATAATGATAAAAAGATATTAAGACATCATTTTTTTTTTTTTTATTGGATTATTAAAAATATTCCAAGGAACTAAAATGCATTACAAAGAAAAACGAATTATTCGAATTAATTTATGTATTAATAAAAAAGAAAAAAATATATATATATATATTTCAATGAATATAGGAGAGATCACTGAAGAGAATAATCGTTCAAAGAATTCGTTCAACGAAACAAAAAACAAAAGGAAAAACAAAAAAAAGAAATAAAATAAAAGAAAGAGGGGGAGAGAGAGAGAGGAGAGTCATCGAGGCATTTCTTTTTATTCGAAATTTCTAATTATTCTTCCTTTTTTCTTTTCTTTTCTTTTTCCTTTCTAAATACCTTTTTCTTTTTTCCTCAAAATAATTCCGCACGAGTTACAACGTAAATGTGTACGATATGTGCGAACAAAGCTCATGTCCTTGAATAGAAAGAGAGATATAGAGTAAGAGAGAGAGAGAGACAGAGAGAGAGAGCTTTTTCATAAATATGGATCAGAAAAATTTGAAAATAGTGATTTCGCAGGAAAACGGAAGTTATCGAAAATCGTGAAAACGACTATGATCTCGATTTCTGTCGATTCCTTTCGATTGAGATAGAGAAATGGATATACCCAACCAAAACGCAACCAGCATTGAATATTTATCGAAGTCAACCTCAGAGTATTTACCAGGGTGAGAGAGTCGAAGCCATTTTGGTAAATACACAACAAACCTAGTACATAATATATATATATATATATATATATATATATATATATATATAGACAAATATACCTATACTTTCCCCTATGCACAAACATTTTTTCTTACACCCTCCTTTTCTAACTCTAAGGACACACTTATACTATATTTCTATTTCTTTCTCTCATATATTGCTCCCTATTTCTATCCTTTTCTTTACAAACATACTATTTTCCTATCTTACTCTTTATATCTATCTATCTTTTTCTTACGCATGTATAAACTATTTCAATCTCTCTCTCTCTCTCTCTCTTTATCTCTCTCTTTATCTCTCTCTGTGTCTTTCTCTTTCGTGCTGTCTCACCTCTTTTGCCTTTATCGATAGCTTTATCGATAACTCGAGACACCCTTCGACTTCTCTCCCCATATATGCGCTCGAGGCTAATATGAATTTTTCATAAACGACTAAATGGAACTCTACTACTACTACTACTACCACTATTACTACTATTACTACTACTACTATTACTATCTATTACTACTGCTATTACTATGTACAGTACTACGTGACGACGGCCTCCTCATCTCATAAAATATTCAAAATGTCGAGGATGCTGATTTTCAGCTATCTCGCGAATCCTACTCGAGTAAGGTGCTTTACTCTCTTCCCTTCTCTTAAACACTCGCTATTTCGATTTGGCATGCACTATTCTTTTAATTGGAAGAAAGGAAAAAAAATTTGAAATGGAAAAAAGAAAAAAGAAAAGAAAAAATTAAATAAATAAAATCGCGCGAGAGAGAGAGAGAGAGAGAGAGAGAGAGAGAGAGAGAGAGAGAGAGAGAGAGAGATAGAGATAGAGAAGAAAAAAAAGAATTAAATAAAAGGAAAAGGACAAAACTTTCCCCTTCTTTTTTAATCCCATACAATGGAATATATATATATATATATATATATATATATATATATATATAAAAAATACATATGTATATACACGGCTATATTACATGGTCAGTAGCGTTAAGTATCCTTTCTCTTACACAACCACCCACTCTCTCTCTCCCTCCCATCGTACCCGTTACCAACCAATTCTTGTCATCTCCGAGGGAGAAGAGAAAGAGGGAAGAAGGGGATATCATAGAAAGCTCCTTTCTCGAAAATGTATTCGTAATATTAAACGAGAACGTTGGAATTCGTATTTGGGAGACGCCGTGGTGTTCTAGCAACCGTTATAACTATGCTAATGGCGGCCTCCATGTCGAGTCAAACCGTACGGCGATAGAAAGAGAGAGGGAGAGAGAGAGAGGGAGAGAACTTCTCTCTCTCTCCCTCTCTTTCTATCGCCGTCTCACTCTAGCAAACAGAAGCATTGATGCATGGATGAGAGAAGGAGGGTAATACAATGAGAAAGAGAAGGAGAGAAATAGAGAGAGAGAGAGAGAGAGAAAGAGAGAGAGAGAGGAGAGAGAGAGAGAGAAAGGGAGAGAGAGAGAGAGAGATAAGCCGACGTTATTAACGAGACCAATTTGGAATCACTGTTCGACGGTAGAATGTAAAGACCCGGAGAATTGTCGAAAGGGATTCCATTCTAATACCTAGGAGCATGATCCTAGCCGTGTAATCGAGAAGAATGGATTTGATATCTTTCGAAGCACTCGACAAATCTTTCAATTCTCCTATATTTCTCTTTATCTTTCTTTATAAATCGATTCGAAAATCTCTACTTAATTAAGTAGAGAACATAAAAGATAGATAGATAGAGTGAGAGAAGTCGAAAGAGACGATGAATATATTTCTAGAAACAAAATAATAATAATAATAAATGTGGTAGTAGTAAGGGTAATGATAATAAAGAAAAATCATCATCATTATTATTATTATTATTATTATTATTATTATTATTATTATTATTATTAATATTTTGTTTTTATTTACCTTCCTCATTGCTGCTATCCTGAAGATACCAAATTTCCTCCTCGTCAAAATGAGCATCACCGCCGCGATCTTTGCCAGGGAAAAATGCATGAGCCAAGATTTGTCCCCTTCCATCGAATGGATATCCATCGCCATGAGAACCACTGCAAATCCAAATTTTATATCAAGAAAATTTTATTAATAATACGATTCGTTCGTTCGTCGTATATAATAAAATTATATCTAACGATTATATATATCATTGTTCAATTGACGATTCTAATTAAGTTTCTCTTATTTTAAATCCTATCGATTTTGATTAATGTTTACACGATTAATTACGAAGTTTACCGGAATTACTCGATTAATTCCGAAATTTATCATAACGACACGATCATTCCCAAAGTATCGAGGCGTAATTGTAACAAAAATTTCTTTTTTTTTTTTCTTTATTACCTCATATACGATTTCGACTGCTCGTAAATTATATAAATATGCAAAAAAAAAAAGAAAGAAAAAGAAGAAGAAACATTATAGGTTACGATACGACGAAAAAAAAAAAAAACAAAAAGGAAAAAATCTACTCGAAGAGGTTAGGAGTAAAATATAAAAAGAAAAAAAAAAAAAGAGAAAGAGTAAAAGAAAATAATAAAACAAACGAATATTTCTTTTTTTTTTCAGATAGATACAGATAGATACTTTTAACGTACTCAAAGCCGTGCAAAATTTGTTTTATTAAACTTTTTCTATTTTTTTTTTTTTTTAACTTCAACCAATCGCCAGATATATGCACATGAATATCTATGGAGAAGCAACACACTAACGTATACATACATACATACATATATATATATATATATAAATATATATATACACACATACATATACGTACATATATATAACTTTACTTTAAAAACGAGCACAATGACTATATTCTTTTTAGTTTTTCTACGTACTGAAATATTTCACATGGAATGAACGTTTTAAACGAGATATAAAGTGTCGTAGTATCCCATCGAATAGATCGAAATCCGTATCACGTTGTACGTGAACGAGAGAATTCATCTTTTTTTCGTACAAAAAGAGAGTGACATGGATACACCAATACACACACACACACATACATATAAATACAGAGTCATTTCGATAGTAAATTCTATATAGAAAAATCGATACAATCATGACAAAATATACTATATCAGATATTCTATACACATTCCATATGACGTTTTGCTTTTGATAATATCTAATAACGTTTATTGCCTCTTTCTCCAATTTAGACATCAGACGATCGTATTCTCACATACGTACTTATAAACACACATATTACAAACGTACACGAACATACACGTATAAATATATAACATCAAACAACACATACAATATATTAACACGTAAAGACTGTTTGTGGATTCACGCGTAGAAAACAAATAACCCTGCAAGCAATTTCACGAGAATAGGAACCTTATTAAGGTTAAACGATAATTACACCATCCATGGATTTTCCTAACATAACCTATCTTCCTCCTTCTCATTTATCATTCTGTATTTTTTTTGTTATTGAAAATATAAGAGACAGAGCGAGAGAGAGAGAGCGGGAGAGAGAGAGAGAGAGAGAACAAAAAAAAATATATATGGCATTTTTATTTAATTGAAATTTATATAATTTCGATAACTTCAGTCAGTTAATAGTATTTGTTAAATATTCTTTTTTTTTTTTTCATACGAAGATTTTATTTCTTTTAAGAAATTTTACCTACAAAATCGTGTAAGTTTTTAATTGGCAGGAATTTTGAATTCATCAAATACGCGGGTACACTGATATTTAACAAATTTTCTCTCTTTGTTTTTCTTTTTTCTTTTTGTTGTTTTTTTTTTTTTCGTTTATATTTTCTTTTTATACAGAGATACGTCAACCTCTCTGTCCTTTTCTCATTTATAAAATTTCATACACTAAATTGTACTGATCTTTAATTGGCAGTAGAGATATTTCGAATGTAGAAAATATAAACGAGCAAATATAGAAATTTAATTGGCGGGAATTTTGAATTTTAAGAATCATCGATAAACATTTATAACGTTATTATTCTAGAAAAAAAAAAAAAAAAAAAAAAATAAAATAAAATAAAATTATATTTAAACGAGTATTTAATTTAATTGGCGTGAATTTGCAACTTATCGAATTTAATTAAATACTTCTTTTTTTCTTTCTTTTTTGATTTTATCTTTCTTCCAAAAAAATACATCTCTCCCTCCTCTCTCTCTATTTCTATCAATCTTTCTCTCTTTATTTCTAACTTATTAACAATTTTTCCCCCCCCACATAGAATATTCTATTCCAGAAGATATGTACTTTTATTACGTTTCGAATTTATTTATTATACAGACTTACATTTATAGGGTTAGTTCGTTGTAATCATTAATGCAACTGTAATGTTTTCTACACTACTACTACTATTCCCTCTCCCCTCTTTTTTCTCTCTCTTTTTCTCCATCTCATCCCTCTTTCATTCTAACACAAAATCAATTCTATTACAATCGATTTAACCAGATAAGTAAAATTCGATGTGAAAGCCATTAAATGTGACTGAAATTTATAACTTATTGTACACACATACGCACGCACACAATACATTATATATAATTTTTCTTTATAAGAAATTGGATACTTAAAAAAAAAAAAAAAAAAAAAAAAAAAAACAAAGAATAAAATATAAAATAAATGATCTCACCGATGAAAGTAAACTAAGATGTCAGCACGATCGCTGTTAACTTCCTGAAATGTAAGCTTCGAATTTCTGGCCCAAAGGTCAAGTGCCTTGCTCAATTCCAGTCGAACTCCGCCAGTTTCCAGGCCGCTTGGTTGATTGGTTCTCAAACTGTAACATAATTAGAGACAAACAATAGAAATAATTCATTGAATCATCGAATCGTAATATCTAACGATCGTATTATCAACGTATAACTCTAACGTTCTTCTATCGTATCATTTCACATAGACGATAGGACACATACGTTTATGTATTAAAAAATTGAGAAAAAAAAAGAGAAAAAAAAAAAGAAAAGAAATTTAGTCGCCATCTTTTATATCATCCTTTTCTCTTTTTTTTTTTCTCTTAAAATCATTATACAGGATGTCTCCATTTTAAAACTATTATGATATTCCTTATTGGTGAAAATTAGAAACAAAGAGGAAAAGAGAGAAAGAGAGATCGGTCAATAGATATTAAGTATAACGCCAAATAATGATTTTCCTCTTTTGCAACCTTTCAAAAACTTTCTCCACAAATCTCTTTAATCGTAACCTTCCTTCTTCGAGTTATTATGAACGTTCTTTGGATTACTTTCCTTCCCCTCCCCCCATTTAACTCTTTTCTTTACCTATCCTGATCCTACCACTTCCACTATTACTACCACCAACATCAACACCAACATCAATACCACCATCCTTCTTCTTGTTCATAATCCAACAGGATGGAATATAATATCCTAGCTATAGAAGATGATTTAGAATCGACGTTGATTTATTGCCATAACGACTGGCTAATGAATTTCTCCTAAATTAAATTGAAAAATTTTAAGTCTCCAAAAATAAATAAAAAATATATATATATATCTGTGTATGTTAGTAAGTGTATGTGTCTATATTGAAAAAAAAAAAAATATATATATATGATAGTTATATATGTAGGCTGTAAAAGCATTCTTTTATTTTAGGTTAGGATTGAAGTTTTATTTACGAATTATTTTTTTTTAGGTTAGGTTAGGTTAGGTTTTCTCTTTGTGTTCATTAAAGATTTTATTATGTAGTAATTCTTTTAATAATATTATAATATATTATAACGAAGATTTAATTAATCATTATTATTATATATATATAATATTTATGGAATGTATTATTAATATTATTATAATTAATATTATTAACAATATTATTAACAGTTTAAAAGTTGATAAAAATAAAAAGATATGTATATTAAATCAAGAATATTATAATATTAAAATGTCACAGAAAACATTTTACATGAGTGAGGATAAAAATCTGCAACAAAGTCAATGTGTATTGTGTATGTGTATTGATCGTGATTCTCGTATAAGTTTTATTCAATTACATTGAATAATAAAATTTTGAATAAATAAATCCAGAATAATTTGAAAAATATGAAATTTAAATTCGTTTAAATGTACATGAACATATAACACGGGATATCAAATTTCTTTTGATAAATAAATCTTGTGGACGAGATAAAAGAGGGAAAAAATAAATCGAAAAAATTGATATTTATGCCGATCGATAAAATGTCGACAAGAAAATTTATAAAAAAAAAATTGGACAGAAATATACACATGAATTCATTTATGTATTAATGTATGATACATGCATATATTATAATATATTAAAACATATATTTTATTATTTCATATTAATTTGTTTCTTTTTCTTTCTTTCTTTTTTTTTTTTTTTTTTTATAATACCACATTGTATTACTGTATGATATTATATGATTTTATTATACGAATATATATTATATAGTATTAATATATAATAAAAGATCAATATAATAAGTTTAACATATAATTAGGTATTAGTACAGTATACCAAAATATATATATATATATATAAAATATATTTGGACTTTTTCTCGATAAAATCTCTCTCTCTCTTTTTTATTTCTTCATTTATTAAATAAATATATCTTTTCTTTTTATTTTTCTCTATTTTCATTTCAGACAAATCTTTTTCTTTCTTGAGCCATTTTGAAACAGAAAGTTAGGTTAGGCTAGATAGACTAGGCTTAGATCTAAGCTAGAAGGTAGTATTAGGCCATGCAATAACGTGAAACCCGGAAATACTATGCTCCTAGCAAATAGTATTTTCTCTTTACCTCTCCTTGTAATGTTTCTCCTAGTTTCTGCTAGTTTATATAGGTAGTACACAGAACACTGAATATACAAATTACCATAAAGTAAGTATGCAAAAGGGGAGTAGTACACAAAGATTAAAACAAAAACGATCGGTCTCGATGGGTTTAATCATTCGACTTAAGGATGGAAAAATTTCAAAATCTTTCATCCTTGAATAAATTATTTTCTTAAATTAACCCTTTGAATATTTTCCAAGTAAATAATAATGATAATGATAATGATGATAATGATGAAGTAGTACAAATAATGACGAATAAAAACGTATAAGAATTTTTTTTGCAATATAATATATTTTATATGTATATATATATATATGATCTAGAAAAATATTATAGAAAATTTATGGGTAAAAATTAGTAGATCTATTGATCTATGGGAAATTATTGGAAAGAAAAAAAAAATATAATTATACATGGAAAGTTTTGAAGTATGTATAAAAAAGAAATTATATATAAAACAATAAAAACCATATATATATATTATATAAATATTGTATATATTATATAGTATATACAATCTTGATATTAAAATTAATACAAAAAGAAATCATTGATGATCATTGACAACAGTAATTCAATTCTCATTGAAAATGAAAATCAAAAATGAAAATACGTATGTTCAAACGATCTTAAACTAATTTTAAATGAAATCTCTCTCTTTCTCTCTCTCTTTCTCTTTATAACGAGATGGACAAAGGAGAGAAGATGGGATGGAGGGAAGCCCAAAGAGGAGGAAAAATTCAATTTGAGTTCACGTCATAAATGAAGAAGGACGAAAGGAAAATAAATTGAAAAGCATACGGACGGACGAGTTGCCTTTTCTTTTTTTCATCTCTTTCTCTTTTTTCTTTTTCTTTTTCTTTCTTTTTTTTTTTTCTTTTCAATTTTTGTTCTCTTTTTTCTTCGCCTGCAATAGTGCTAGCCGACTTTCCAACTCGAACGTTCCGCAAAGTTCTTCTATTTGAATCAAACACAACCACGTTCCACGTGTTGTGTTGTTTCTATTACACAACTTATACAACCTAAAAACACACACACACGCACACACACATTTACACACAACTACGTATACGTATGTATGCATATATACGTGTATACACACAACACATATAAACAAATCTTTTTGAAAGAAGCTCGAAATTGCCTTTGGTTTCTCTTTAGCCACTTTCGTTTCTACTGGGTGGGACAAAAAAAATTTCTTCAGGTGACATCTTTTTCCCCTATTCCCTCTACTCATTTTCTCTTTGTTGCCTATCTTTTTCTTTTCTTTCCTTTCGTTCTTTCATTTTTTCCTTTCATTTTTTTGTTTCCTCCTCTTCATATCAATTACTCCTTCGAGACCTTATTGAAGTATCTAACTTCTTTGTTCTCTTTTTTCTTTTTCCCTTTTAAAATTAGTGAAAAAACAAAAAAAAAAAAAAAATGAAAAAGAAAAAAGAAGAAACACTACAGGCCTTTATATGGTTAGTAAAATTTTATAGAAATTTCATTAACTGTCCGGTCTGATTATAATAAAAAAAATTATTCAAAAAGATTTTAATTGTGATTTTAAAAATTGGCAAAAATATATATATGTATATATATATTTTTTTTGATTCACCCCGTACATAAAATATATATATATATATCTCTTTCTCTCTCTCTCTCTCTCTCTTTATTCATCTATCTTTCTCTTACACACATACATGTCAATTGTCGTTTTAAAAAATGAACAAAGATAGAGTGGAATAAGTTTGACCTCTCTTCTGGTCATCGTTGTTTATATACTCCATAGGAACATATATATATATATATATAGTTTAGATGTTTCTGGTTGTGTATTGTCCTTCGTAAAAGTTTTTCTTGAATCCGATCGACGGAGAAGACACATATCAGAGTCGGCCGGAAGTAGTCAATTGAACTAGTCAAGTACAGTTTATCATCCACATACCGGGTGTTTCATTTTCCTTTTTATAAATATAAAGTTTGCGATATCCAATCGAAACTTGAAATTCCTTGGTTGGTGAAGTTAGAATAGATTTATCTTTTGTCGAAAGAAATTGTCAATGTTGGAATTCACTTTCTCTTTTTATTCTGTTTTTTTTTTTTTTTATTTCCAATAGAAATATTTATACACACACACACACATTTATATATATATATATATATATATATATATATATATATATATATATATGTTCCAACATCATTCATTTTATTTTCTACAAATAATTCATAACATATCCCATAGTGAAAAAAAAAAAAAAAAAAAGAAAGAAAGAAAGAAAAAAAAATGAAAAATAGAAAGAGAAGTGTAGCAAGAGATATGTATTATCTTTTATCTTTGTCAGTGTCCAGATAGATCGGTGTTTATGGCAATGAGTTCGACGCGTCGAATGACAAACGTCCTTTCTCTTATCGTTCACAGTTATCTACGATCGGATGGAAAGCAGAAACATGACAATGCGAATGCGCAACACAACCCCCACCCCCCTCTATCCCTAGACCTACACAACCATCTCTTTTACTCCCCTTTCCATCCTTTAGCAACCCACTCTCGTTTTGTCAGCCTGTTTCCGTTTACCACGACTGTAAAATGTCAACGAGAACACATCATGTGTATATATTTTATATATATATATATATATATATATATATATATATATGTGTGTGTGTGTGTGTGTGTGTAGCGTACTGGACTTGTCGGGATCTCGATCGATTTTCGATTACGTCATATAACGATGATATATAGTAAAACCTAGAAAATATACCGTTACAAAACCTAACATGATTTATGACACATAACATACGAGTTTATTCGTCTTTAATGCACGAATCAACGTAATAAAAGCATAAGGAAAAAAAAGGACATATATATATATATAAAAAAAAAAAAAAAAGAAAGAAAAAGAGAAGGACTTATAAATAAGTTATATATAAATATATAAATTATTTGTTGTACTTCATAATACGTA